AACCCCATTGGAGATATCGTGGTCTTGATTTTGAATCCAATGATTTGTGGACTGTAGAGTGCTCTAGAAATCATATCTGCACCTAAAACATAACAATTACAACATAAATTAGATCTTCAAACATTCTACATCATTCATAAATACAAAAAAAATTCAATTCAATGTATTCACTATTATAATCTTAACAAAATCATTCAAGTATCCAAGTGGTTGTCATTTGCTCAACTTCTTCGCAATTGCATCAAAGTCAGCCACAAGAAATTCTCTAATTGATTCCGGCCAATTGTAAGATAAAAAATTATCAACATTTCATGCTACACTGATGATAGATGCTGGTGTTCGATAGTTGTGCAGAGGAAAGAAAAGATTTAACAACAAAAAAATTAATGATGAATTTCTTCACTACATTGGGTAGTGGAGTTGATTCATCTAAACTAATAACCTCCTTCCTAATATCATTAGCTTATTTTCCAGTGATTCTGGCGCTACCTATTTCAAAATTGTTTCCTCTATTCGGTAGGCCTAATATCATAGCAACTTCATCGATAGTAAATGGTAACTTCTGGTCTTTAATGATAAAGCATTGCTTCTTAATGTCCCAGTACGAGAACAATCTGAATACCAATAAAATATTTTGTACATAATGCGGCATCAAAAGAAAGTGATGAAGATTATTTTGCTTCAAACTCTCCATAAAGTTTTGGCCAAATATTTTGACCAAATGATCACAGACTTCTCTAAAAGTCGATGTTCTGCAACGGAAGCTAATCTTCAGAACATATCCCTGGGTAATATGTTGTATTTGATCAGAAAAAATTTCATTCCAGGTCAGGTGCTTCTACGTACCGAGCGGTACTGAGCGGTGCATAAAAACACCTGGAGGTACCGAACAGTACCGAGAGTCCATCAAGAACTTCTCAGGAATAAAGCGGAAAAAACATACAAAATAGTTCTCTCAACAGAAAAAAATACTCTAACGACAAACCCTAGAACTATAAAAAACTAATGGAACTTACAATGCATTCTAAAAATAACATAAGGGGTGGTACTCAGTGTACCTCGCTTTTGTACCGTTAGGTACCACTGGGTACCTAGTCGGGGTATCCAGCGGTACCCAAGCCACACAACTTACAGAGCAAAAAGGATAGCATATTATAAATACTACTATCAAACCCTAAAATATGATAAATACAAATAACTATAGAAAAAACATACCTTGGTCATTTAGACGATGAAGACTAAAGATGCTTCGTGTAGTAGCTTCGTGTAGAAGATGAATAATCGCTTCCAACTTCTCTTTGTGGATGAATGTAGAAAATCAAATCGCCCGAAAAAGTAAAATTGGAAGAGATGTTTCGGATTATCTCGAAGAAATGAAACGACATATACAAATTCATTTCAGGACGAGTCATTGGGCCAGGCCGCTCTTTTTTTCAATTATTCAGGCGGTTCGGGTCGTCGGGCCGCGCTGTAAAAAAAATAAACGTGCTTAATAGATCTGTCGGGTCAAGGTGGGCTCCACGTGGCGTTCAGCTACAGGTTTGCATACATAGAGCTACGTCCGCAATTCACACCCAATAAAAATTCCTCTTTTGATCTCTTTGTTTGGCACATTCTAAATGTGCCAAACTTTTCGGAGTACTGCCTCATTTTTAAATTTTTAGCCTTCGGCTCATTCCAATGATTAAGAAGCTCCTTTTTTAAAATTAACTTGTAAAATATAGAAAATCATACCAATCAAACAATTTTGTAAATTGAATCGAATTTTATTTGCTAAGTTTCGTTCAGTTTGAATGAACTAAAATGTAAATAATTTTATTAATTACCCTTATCTTTATATTAAATAATATGCATTAAAAAAATACAAAGTAAAATATGCTAAATTTTTATTAATTCTTTTTTTTTTTAAAGAGAAATATATTAATGAAAATCAAAACGGTTACAGCTTTGGTAGACAAAAAAAGCTAAAAATAAAATGAAAAATTACAACCAAAAAGCGGACTTATTAATTCTTAATGTATAATAAATAACATTAATGCAGATCTTTATTTCACCTGTTTACCATTCATAATATTTCTTATATTAATATTTAAATATATTAGCATAATTTATTTTTTAAATTTATAATTTAATAATTAAATATGAACTTTGAGCACAGCTGGAAGCAGCCAACAACTAATGGAAGCGCATGACCTGTCTCACATATATTGGGCAAGTGTTTTGTTTTATTTATGAAGCTGTCAATTTCATCAAAATAAAGTACATATAAGAAATAATTTATTAATATTCTACTTTCTTGATGAATTAAATATATTTCACATGGTGATGCTAAGGATTAAGTAGGTGTTGACTGATTTATTAATAAAGTATTAAGTAAAAAACTTTACTTTGAGTTCACAAAAAGGATAAAGTTGCTTGAAATAAATCATCATTATTATAATCAAATCAATCATTCTCTTAAATTAGCACTAGACATAAATAGTTGGCATATATCTAATGCTAGTCACTAGAATTCATTGTATGACAGACGATTATGAATGTCAAAAGTGCGTGGAGATTGATTGTTAGTTTAATTTCTCTCCTTATGAGAGGAGAGATAAGGTGATCAAAAAGATGAATATTAGTCAAGAATGATTGATGTATGTTAGTTCGTTATGGATTCTGATCATCCATGGTAGTTGCAAGATCATCTGCCAGTTGTGATGGTAGGTGTCATTGGTCGATGACCGACATTTAATGATGGGAACAAAAGATGTTTGCATTGGTTACTGATCGATGTATGACGGTTGTGAGCATCAATATTAGTTAACAATCAGTGTTTGTTAGTGGAGACGATTGTTCGATGGAGACAATAACTAGCATCAACATTTGCTGATGGATGGTGTCAACAAATAGTAATAACATACTGTGATAGCCGGCATTCAAAAATGTTGAACATAGCTCAATTTTTTTCTTGTTATTTTCTCCACCAAAAGTTTATTATTAAGACCTATTTATTGGTTTTTTAGAGGAGACTGCCTAATCATTTCCTAATTAAAATTTGGATGCCTCATTTAACAATCTAAATGAATACTCCTAATCATGATTTTTTGCATCTCTAATTCATCAATGATCTCGAAATCTAGATATTTTGAATTTGTTATGGTGCTTATCTCAACTCTAAGTATTAAAAATTTGAAGCAATTTTGCGATAGAAATAGCCTTAAGAAGATTTCAAATATATTTTCAAATGAATGGTTTAGAGCTATTTGTATTTGAATAGAGTCATTCTTAGTATTGTAAAATATGTCTAGTAAATATCATTTTCTTGAAAAGAAGCTTGTTGTAAATAGATCTTAAACAATATCATAATAAATTATTGATGATGGTTGGTTTGAGATCTCAATTTTGCATAAAATTTCATACTTAATCAAATGATTTTTTTGTGGCAAAATTTCAATATTAAATTTTTTTGTGGCTCTAATTCAACCATTCTCCTTAACCAAGTCAGCAGAATAAATCTTAATTAAATCAAATGACACTAAGTTAGATTCAATATGTTATTTTTTTGAGCAAACATTCTAGTCATTTTTTCCTACAAATAGGGTGACCAATTGGACAGTTTAAGAAAAGCCTTATTGATTGTATCTTTTACAACTCCAATTTTTTAAAATTCTTAAATTGGGGTGCTTTTGAGCTTATTAGGTTCATCTTATTGAGATGATTATTTTGATTTGATGAATGAAAATTTTGAATAACATTTCCCATTATATTTTTAGATGTTTGGCTTAAGCTTGTTTGTACTTAAATCAAGGTTTTCTTAGTAATATTGGATTTATCCAATCAAAACCACATTATTTTGACTAAACATTTGTTGAAAATAGAGTTCTTATCGATTATAAATGTTTAAGTCCTTTGAGAGTAAAATTTACATCACTTGTCATGCTTGATTAGATTATTTTTTCGCCAGCAAATACAATTTAATTTTTTTTAAAATAATGTTTAATATTATAAACTTCCACTAAATTTTTTAGGGTTTTTACTTATCATCTCCTAAAAAGTACAAGGAAATGATATTTCAAGTAAGCTAGGTTTCATCAAACTAAAATATAAATTTAGTATAGTTTTGACTAACCCAACACAATATCAAATACTTAAATACCCTTTTTATGATCTTGGCTGCTATAGTGATATGGTTAATATAACCCTAATAAAGAGTTAACATTTTTCAGATATCTTTCGCGCCTATGTAGCTCACATGGTCCCAAAAATAACACAAATAAGCCTCAAAAATTATATTCAACTGAGACTACATGTGACTAGTTTATTTATTATGAGCTCAAACAAATTAGTGGAACCTTATATAGTGTCAAATACTATTGCCACTTACATGTGTGGCTTGATATAGTGAAAGAATGGAAGATTTAGAGGTCAATAAAGCCAACTTTTTTAGTGGGTTCACATAATTAACCTAAATAGTTTGATCCTAATTCTGTCAAACTAATCAACCAAGTCAAATTAATGAGTATCAATAGCACTCAATCAAACCCAAGAAACAAGTCAACTTAGTGAATCTCAATAACACTCAAACAAGTGATTAGTTGGTATACCAAATCAAATTGAAGCTAACTTTTCTCAAAGGGCATCAAACAAAGAGTGGGCTTAGTCTAAATCCCTTGATTCATGCCTAATTTACATTTACAAGAATAAAATCCTATCATTTATCAAACAATCAAACTAATCAACAACATACTTAATCGAAAGACATAACTCAATCAAAAAAATTTACAATTGAATCAATTCAAGATTTGTAGGTTAAATCATCCGATGTAAGCTTCATAATTCAACTTTGAGTCAACATGTCCTATTGACATTTTGTTTTAGTTGACATCTCTAGACAAAATTTCTTATTTATGACAATCCATCTGTTCGGACACAATTGATAGTGAAAATTATTTTTATACAAATGCAGAGTAAGAAAATATATCATGATTTATGTTACATAAATTAATAATCAAATATAGCATGGAAAATATTTTTTCTTATAAAAAGAACAAGATAGATACAAACCAAAGCATGTATTATACTTTAAAGACTTACAGCCGTTCCATATATATAAAATACACCTTCACCAATCCAATATTTCAAAGAAGGTGAAATCTAAACCCCTTTCGACCTCCTCTCTTTCACTCATGCCTGAAGGAAGATTTAAACAACTATTATCAAAGCAACAACCAGATGATCATCACTGTGTCAGACCATTCTGGACAATTTCAGCCAATCTCGCCCTCAGATCCTTCCTCAAAATCTTGCCAGATGGCGACTTCGGAATAGCCTCTATGAAGAAAACCCTTTGTATTCTCTTATAGAAAACCACCTACAAAAAATCAATTACACAACAATTATCAGTGCTCATAATATTTAAGAAATTTGCACTTCAATCTATGAATGTAGCTAAATCAAGCCAACTCATGAACCGAGCTAAATTTAAACCAGCCTGTGTTAAGCTCGATCCCAAACTTGATTAAAGAATCAAGCCCAAGCCATGAACTAGTTCACACCCATACATTGATTCAATAGTGCTTAAATCTCACAATTCTTCTATTAACAACATTCACTTCCTAGCAAAACCAAAACAAAATTTGATACACTTCAGAAAAGCAATTATTACCTGTTTTGAAACATATTGCTTGATTTCATCCTCTGTGATTTCATTACCATTTGATAGCACAACAAATGCAATGGGAAGCTCTCCACATAAGTCATCTTTCAACCTGCATTACCAAGAAAATCTTCAATTCCTAACCATTGCACATCAATTTGTAACTACTCTTTATTCAATTTGACTCCAACTCAACAAGCACACTAACAGCCTCATATCAAATATAGGCTCTATTTGGGACAGTTTTCTTACTGCTTTCTAGAACAGTTTTTTAATAAAATTTTTTGAAAGATGTATCAAATGAAGCCTTAAGCTTTGTTTGGGACAGCTTTTGGCCACTGTTTATCGCTCCTTTCAACAATTTTTGTACTAAAAAACTGTTGTAGAAAGCAATAAGAAAATTGTCCCAAACGAAACCTTAAGTATAAGATATGATTGTTTAGAATCCAGATTTAATTAATGCTTGATAAATTTAAGAAACAACAAAAATATTTTGTGAAGCAAAAATAAAATAATAGTAATTAAAATCTAAATTCATTCTAATCATAATTATATGAGCTAATTACATAGAATTAAGCACTTACGGGACAACAGCAGCGCCAGCAATCTTAGGGTGGGCGATGAGCAAAGCCTCAAGCTCTGCTGGAGCCACTTGAAACCCTTTATATTTAATCAGCTCTTTCAGCCTATCAACAATGTATATTTCGTCATCATCATCAACATAGCCTACGTCTCCTGTATGCAGCCAGCCCTCTGCATCAATTGTGCTTTCTGTGGCTTCAGGATCGTTCAGATACCCTGCAATAATTATCATAATTTTTTTAATAATTAAACAAAATTAATAATAATTAATTATTATTTTAGAAATCAATATTTGATTAGTTATTTATTAAAAATATTATGCATGAAACAATGTGCAGAGGATAAAAATTTATATAATGGGCAGGCACTTTATTGCGACAGGTTTGGTGGGATTTATATAATTTTTATTTTTATTTTTTTTTCCACTCAAAGAAAAAAGAATCCTTATCCTTTTGTCTTCTGCTGTATTGCAAGATGCCATTGGCAGATGATAAGAAATTGTTGGTGATTTATTACATAATTAACGATAATGATATATTTATAATAAATTTAAAGGGAAAATTTTATACATTATCAATTTAGTAAACAGATTATATTTAACTTAGTTATTTGTATAAATATTTAATAAAATAAATTATATGTATTATCCTTAAATTTTAATTATTTATGAAATTAAAAGATTCCATTGTCTTTTTTTTTTTAATTCTCAGCTCAGTATAATAATTAATGAATGTAATTAAGCATTTGATTTCTTATTAGCGGTAGCGATCTAAGAAGATTCATTTCATGATTATTCATCAAATTTTACGTTGTTTGCTCACTACCTAAGGAGATTAAGCATTTATATTTTTGTTTTTAGCCGATCTAAGAAGAGTTAATGACGGGTGATAATTATTCAGAAATTATTTTTCCTTTGTAGACAAAATATAAAAAATATTTTTTTAAAATTATAAGATAATTTTTTTTATTTCACTTAAATTCCACACTTACTATTTATATATCACAAATAAAGATAAAGTATTGTTTAATAATATCTCATTTAAAAATTGAAGTATTACAATAAAACTAAAATAATTGAGTAAAATAAATTATAATTTGATTTCCTAATATATATATTCTTGTATGACTAAAAAGAGAAGCGCATACAAAAAAGACTATATGGTCCACATTAAAATTCAATTGGCCGATTTGGTTGGTGAGCATGTTTGGCCCCCACCATATTTTCTCACCTAACTCAAATTTAACTAATATTTTTAAATTTCTAGAACAAATAAAATTAATTAATAATGAGTTGAAATTTTATATAGGTTCACCTACTAGCAAAGTCTTATCCGTTTGAATCATCCAATGAAACTAAGACATCTCAGCCGTCGCTTTGACCTCGAAAATACCGCCAGCGATAATCAGAATTTTTGGTAATATTAAATATTTTTTAAAATTATTTATTTATTTATTTCTTTTTTAAATAATATTAAATATGTTTGGTTGCCTAATTTTTTTTAGTGTCACCTAATTTATGACTTCTCTCTCTATCTCTTAACTAACGAATGGATACATAAATAGTAAGCAAAGCTGTTTCCAAGCTCTTACGTCAATTTTCAAATCATTGAGTAAAACTTATTGTTGAATATTTTAATATAAAATTATATTAAAATATATTTATAATTTATAAATTCAGAATTTATATTAAGATATATTTATATTTTTTAAAAAAATTTTGCTAAATGTGAAAAACATTTTTACTAATAATTGTAAATATTTTTTTGTTTTTGCAAAAAATGCATTTTTTATGTGTTAAATTTTGCCATGCTATGATATTATTTTTTGAACGATAAGATATTATTCTCCAAGTTGTGATGGGATGATTAATATAGTTACAAGATAGAATTCTAGTGATTATTGATAGATAAGCTATATGAAATTTAAATTATTTCTTATTTAGTTAGCTAAATTTATCTATTTTATCCTGTGGCAACTTGTTTGAAATTGTAATTTTTATTATTGTGGTTATAATCAAGAACAACAATAATAAATAATAAATATTTAATTTGGATTAAGCTAAGTAAATTAAGATAAATAAATTAATTAAATTACCTTTCATAATCTGCTTTCCTCTAATGCAGATTTCTCCCGGTTGGTTGCGAAACAGAGAGGCGCCTGTTTCAGGGTCTATAATTTTGAGCTCAGCATTTCTAACAACAGTGCCGCATGAACCGGACTTATACGAGAATGGCTCCTTCGCAAATGCCAAACACATGGATAGAACCGGTCCTGCCTCTGTCATCCCATATCCCTGCACCCAAATAATTTTTGAATTATAATTTTAACAGTAATAAGGAAAATATTATATTAAGATAAAATTTAAATTTAGGTAATTTCAAGAAGAGCATTTAATAATATTTAATAATCACATGGAAGTAAAAATTCAAAGCATCATGTGCACTATTTATCACTGCAGCAGATCCTGCCTGGAAGCCTAAGGCACTATTTTATAATAATAATATGATATTATTGTTTTTTTTTTAATGATTATTATCTACTAAATTTTTATCATGAACACCATCAACGTACCTGCCCAAGCTTAGCGTTAGGAAGCTTAGCCGTAAGCGTATCCTGCAATTCCTTCCCCATCGGCGCCGCCCCCGACATCACCATCCTCACCGACGACAAGTCGTAGCTGTCCACCGCCTCACTCTTCGCCATCTCCACCACTATGGGCGGCACAAATGGCGCCACCGTAACCCTGTACTTCTCCACCAACTCCATCAACTTCACGAGATCAAACTTCTTCATTATCACAATAGCCGACCCGGCACGCAACCCACAAAGCAAAACAGAGTTAAGGGAATAGATATGGAACAGGGGAAGCACGCAGAGCAGAACATCTTCCTTATGAAAATAAAGGTTTGGGTTTTCTCCATCGACTTGTTGAGCCACGCTAGTTACTAAGGATCTGTGGGTCAGCATAACGCCTTTGGGTAATCCTGTAGTACCGGAGGAGTATGGCAGCGCCACCACATCGTCTGGCTTTATATCAACTTTTGGAATCTCGTTCTCGTCGGCGGAGAGGAGTTCAGAGAAGCTACGGCATCCAGCGGGTACAGGCTCGTCTATTACGATGATATCTATGCCCAAGTCTTGAACTTTATGAACGTGGGAGGATTCGGTGATAACGAGCTTGGCCGCGGAGGCTTTAGCTTGTTTGTGGACTTCGGAGGCAGTGTAGAAAGGGTTAGCGGTGGTGGAGATAGCGCCGAGAAAGGAGGCGCCGAGGAAAGCGAAGGCGAAAGCAGGGGAATTGGGTAGGAAAATCATTATGACGTCGCCTTGCTGGATGCCTAGGCGGTGGAGGCCGGCGGCGGCGCGGCGTGAGAGAAGGTGGACGTCGGAATAGGAGAGTATGGAGCCAGTGGCACCATCGATCAGGCAGGGGCGGTCGGAGATCTCTGGAAGCTTTTCGAAGCAGTAGTCGTGGAGGGGTAGGTCGTCCGGGATGGATATGGAGGGAAGTTTGGAGCGGAAGATGTGTTTCTCTGTGGTGGCGACGGCGAATTCCGGCGAAATTGAGCCCATTTTTTTGTTTATTTGGTTTGGCGAGGAAGGTTGGAAGAAAGAAGGGAAGATTTCGATTTGTGGTGGAGTATTGCTGTTGCTCTTCCCTGACAAGCAATTAGAGGGGAAGAGGGTAATATAGTGCTGCGGAGGTTGGTGAGTGGGGTCGTTGAGAGTGGAAGAAGAGGGTGTTTCTGGAAAAAAAAGAAAAGAAATTGTTTATAATAAAATATCTTATAAATGTCATTGCTATCTATAAGTATTAAATATTAAAAAAAATTAAATTTATATCCAGTAATGTTTGTATTTAATAGAAGGGTGCCTGCCTGCCTGGCCATTATGAAATGGAAATGAGATAAATTTTATGAGTTTTTTTATTATTTATTAAATTATATCTATTTTCTATATTTAAAATTAATACTCTTAGTTAAAATTTTTATTAAATCTAATGCAATTTTATTTTAATTAAATCATTTAAATAATTAAATTTAAATATTATAAATATATTGAGATTAGATATGAAGCGTGGCGACAGAATTGGTCGCCAATTTCAATTGAGTTGGTGAGGGGCGGGAATTGGTGGACTCCCTACCGAATGGAGTCATTGGCCATTAACGGCGGGACCCGCAAGCGGCTTTACCTACCGCTGGCGTGGGTGAGTCGAACCGGACAGTTGGGCCGGACCACCAACCACAGGCCGGGTGACGTCGGGTGACATCGGTCTACGCGTGTGTCCGGTTCAAGACCTTTAGGAAGAAGGGAGCAGCTCGCGCGTCCGGCTTTTCACCTAAACACGCGTCAAGCTGAGCCGAGGGTTCCGTGGGACCCGACGAGGTTCGTCATAGTGTGTGACACGTGCTGTAGTCTTATTCGATACAGGGCGTGGAGCCATTGCAACACTCGGGTTTGAGACTCAGAAGTAGAACCACGTCGTTTATTAAATATGCGCTAATTAGCCGATAAACTCCACCTGTTATAAATGAGTCAAATTTAAAGAACAGGTGAGAGATAGGGACAGTCTATAATAATTTTTAGGACTTTTTTTTTTGAGTTTTTTTTCACTATTTCTAAAGTAATTTTTTAGTATAAAAATTATAATGAGAATTAAAGAATATACCGCAACTAAGTAGAAAATAGATAAGTTGAATATGTGGTAGTAGCTATTGACAAGTGTGTTTATCATGAAGTTTGTTTGTAGATAGGATAGGAGAACTATTAGCAAGTTCAGAATTGATAGTGAGTGCCTCTGATAAGTTATTCTAATGAGTCTTTCCACTCGGTTGATGCGCGCGTACTATCAATAAATTGGCAATATTGTTTGGATGACTTGCCTCGACTAATAGATGGTCTTTGTGAATCCATGCATTGAATATAATAAATTAATATGTCGATTGAGTTGGAGTTAGTTTTTGGGCAACTTATTTGAATTACGATTCTCGAAAGTTCAAGATATCAGATGAATGAGTGGCTGGCAGCAACAGTTGCAACGTATTTATTAGTATTTTTGGCTGTTTTTTATGACTCATTTGATGACTTGAAGTTAAAAAGGATTAAATTTGTTAAGTTTATCATTTAATTAAATATGATTAGCATCAATATTAATTAAAAACTTCACTTTTTTTCCTTCAAATTTTTCTTTTGCATTATAAATCAATATTTTTCAATATATAACATCTAACAAATGATGTTTCAATTTTAAGATGTTGATTTCACATAATTTAAAATCGAGATATGAAATCTTACATGAAGCACATCAAATAAGATTACTACATATGATGTGAAATAAGTGTGTTTATCATTGTTAAAGGTGGAATATCAAAGCTCAGTGATTGATTTAATCTTAATATATATTATAATGGAAATTAAAAGAAAATTGAATTTTTTTTATGGATTTTCCAACATCAAGACAATGACATAATTTTGTTTGGATTGTAGTTAATAGTATTCTATGCATTTTTATTGAGAAAACAATGTATCAAATTAGTCAATATTCTAAATGAAATAGTTAAAATCTAACATTATCCACTTTATACTGAAAAAAAAAAAACCAATAAAATATTATATTATTATTACGTCCTAGAATATTCGCGATGATAGAGAGATATAGTTTAATGTCTTAGCTTTACATAAAAATCTAACACATAAACATATAAGAGAGTAGGGGTGTAGCGTTCATAAAAGACACTACTGTGAAAAGAAGATAATACTCCTAATAGAAAAACTCTTCTTAGACCAATTGTCGCAATTCATGATGTAGGATGAAGAATGACTTTAGTAAAGAATGATAACTCCTAAAAGTCCTACTGATGATAAGGTTGCCTTCCACCTCTTATAAGAAACTCTTCTTAGACCAATTATTTCAATTTATGATGTAAGGCGGTGTTGCGTGGGAGTTCAATAACATGAGGTCGTGCCAGGTTCTCGGCAACAACTACATGAATGCGAGTTGTCCAACCTGTGCAATAAGGATGGATAAAACTAGCCATGTCAATGAGGTTGATCTCTTGTTGTGACATAGGTCGACCCCTTGACTAGGGTAGAGGGGTATTTTCTTGAAGATATTTAGGTCAAACATTCTTAGCTAGCGAAAAATCATGAGGGAGATGAATCTCCTCTTGTTATGCTAGCTCTAATTGTTGAATCCCTCACAGAAGTGGAAGGATCTCATTCTAAGATTCCTTCATTTTTCAAATGCGGTCTTCCAGGGATGGTCCTGATGTTCTTTCCCTAATAGTGCCCTTACTCCTAATAGAAAAACTCTTGTTAGACCGATTGTCGCAACTCATGATATAGGATGAAGAATGACTTTAGTAAAGAGTGATAACTCCTAAAAGTCCTACTGATGATAAGGTTGCCTTCCATCTCTTATAAGAAACTCTTTTTAGACCAATTATCACAATTTATGATGAAAGGCGGTGTTGTGTTGGAGTTCAATAACATGAGGTCGTGCTAGGTTCTCGGCGACAACTACATGAATGCGAGTTATCCAACCTGTGCTATAAGAATGGGTAAAACTAGCCATGTCAATGAGGTTGATCTCTTGTTGTGATATAGGTTGACCCCTTGACTGGGGTAGAAGGGTATTTGCTTGAAGATATTTAGGTCAAACATTCTCAGCTAGCGACAAATCATGAGGGAGATGAATCTTCTCTTATTATGCTAGCTCTGATTGTTGAATCCTTCACAGAAGTGGAAGGATCTCATTCTAAGATTCCTCCATTTTTCAAATGCGGTCTTCCACGGATGGTCCTGATGTTCCTTCCCTAATAGTGCCCCCCCCCCCCCCCCCCCCCCCATAGTGGAAAAGAGAGGCAGTTGTCTGGCATCCCTGGTTCATAGACTGATTTTTGATTTGATGTGTGTTGGAGCGGGACGCTCCCATACTATGATTATTTTGCCAGTTGACCATTGAAGCGGAGCATAGGATTATGAGATTAAATTTTACCACATATGACGCCAAACAATTATGGGCTAGAGTATATACGACAGTAGAGTGAGTGAAGTTTTTGTCTTAGCACTGCACAAATATATAAGATAAAATACTAGGATTTTTATGGTGAAAAATTTGAGAAAAAGGAAAAATCATGGGGCCACGCCCAATCAAAATGATTATACAAAATTTGAGTGAGGTATAAAATTTTACCTATCCTTTAATCTGGATATAGTGAATTTACAACAGTTTAAGGAGTTTTATAGAAGACTGATATAGTTGGTGGTAATGCAAAAGTTTGATAATGGCTGGTGGTTGGGCAAAAGTGTTGCAGAGTTCGATGATCAGACAAAAGTCTGACGATAACTGGTGGACAAGCAAAAATTCAGGGATAATTGGTGGCTAGGCAGAAGTTAGGTGACAATTTGTGGCCGAAAAAAAAGTCCGACGTCGATCGACAATCAGGCAAAAGTTTAGCGTCGGTCTACGGCTTGGTGGAAGTCCGACATCGGTTGGCAGCCAGACGGTGTTCGAGGAGAAGTTTGGTGGCGAGAGAGATCTTAGATTTCTTTTCCTTCTTCCTCTTCTTCTCCTCCCCCATTTGTGAAGAATGATGAGTCTATTACACTATATATTTCTGTAGCACTTGGTGTAACAGTTTTTAAAATTGCTATTAAAAGTAGTTTTTCCCAATGGTTTTAATTGCCACTAATAATAGCTATTAAAACTGTTGTTATAGAAGTCGTAAGAAATGCTTTAAAGAGCCCTAATCTTTCATACACCATGCGAGCCTCCCTAACATTTTCCTTTTCTCTCCTTCGTTCGAGCCTCTTCTATTCTTCCTTCAATCAATCGATTATCTTTGTTTAGTTGCTCAAGCAACTCACTAGTAAAGGAAACGCTTCAATATCTACCTCGTAGGTTGGAAAATCTCTACAAAAACCCCTCGCAGTGAATAATAAATAAAACAGACATGTAGGGATATTAGAATCACTGTAATATTTTTTGTGGAGGTTAAAACAATCACGAAAGCCCCTAAAAAGTGCTGCAAAAGCAAATTTTTTATAGTAGTTTTTTGGGAGTGGCATGGTTAATAAATAGGGAGAAGATAAAGGGCATGTTGGGATTGTTTTTGATCGATGACTGATATTGACTTTCTTGATCATAGACTGTTTATCGAGCATTTGAGGGCCTTAATGATTTTTTGGGCTCACTGGATTCATCTCATCGGACCACTTGATTCGACTTTAAGAATGTTATATTTGAATATAATTTGATCATCTAATTTATGCTTTGAAAATTCTAAATTACTATGGTTTGGACCCTCGATTTCGACCCAATTGTGTTCGTATTAGACTGATTTTGGTTTCATTAGGTTTGTTGCGTCCAGGAGTATTCGCGGCGGTAGAGAAATATAAAGTTTATCGTCTTAGCGTTGTATGAAAATCCGGCACGCAATCAGATAAGAGAGAGGTTCTAGCATTTATGAGACACTAAGAATTTTTACGTGGAAAACCCCTGAAAAGGGGGAAAAACCACGGGGCCTAGCCCAGTTGTTGAATGAATCCACTAGTATTGCAGTCGATTACAAATGAGGCCCTTCCTTGGGAGAA